AATGTTGCAGGGAGAGGAAGGGGGTGGGGATAAAAGTCTGCTAAAAGAGGCATAAGAGTCCGGGCACAGTAGCTTACACCTGTTATCCCAGCATTTTGGGAGGCCGAGGCAGGTGGATCACCTGAGGTCAGGAGTTTGAGACCAGCTTGACCAATATGGTGAAGCTCTGTCTCTACTAAAAATACAAAAATTAGCCAGGTGTGGTGGCTCACACCTGTAATCCCAGCAGTTTGGGAGGCTGAGGCGGGTGGATCACTTGAGTCCAGGAGCTCGAGACCAGTCCTGGACAACATGGCAAAACCCCATCTCTACTAAAAATGGAAAACATAGCCAGGCATTGTGTGCACACCAGTAATCCCAGCTACTCGGGAGGTTGAGGCAGGAGAATTGCTTGAACCTGGGAGGCGGAGGTTGCCGTGAGCCAAGATTGTGCCACAGCACTCCAGACTGAGCAACGAGAACGAAACTCCAACTCAAAAAAAAAAAAAAAAATTAGCTGGGCATGGTGGCAGGTGCCTGTAATCCCAGCTAGTTGGGAGGATGAGACAAGAGAATTGCTTGAACCTGGGAGTTGGAGATGGCAGTGAACCGACATCTCGCCACTGCATTCCAGCCTGGGAGACAGAGCTAGACTCTGTCTCAAAAAAAAAAAAAAAAAAAGAGGCGTAAGAGATTACAGATGTTATGCTAAGACATCACTGCATCTATGAAAATACTTGTGGCTTTAAGGGGCTCTCCAAGGGGAGATGCTACCTATAGCCAAGTGATCCTGATGATCTCAGGCTGGCTTTGTGAATGAATTATCATCCAGAGGTGGTTAATACTGAAGGAAGTCAAAAGCTGGATGTTTACTCTTTCTACAGAAGACAGGTGGGGAAGGTTGGGGTTAGGTATAAGAAAAAATGATTTTATTTTGAGGATAACATGGATTGTTAAGGCAATTTGGGATCAAACTTTCTTGTAGAGCCACAAGTGGATCATCAAATTCCCATCTTTCTGAGACAATTTAGGCACAGATTTATTTCACGTTAGGAGACTAAGCAAAATCATGGCTCAAGAGTCCTTTGAGTCATAATGACATCTGGTATGGATTTGCTTTGTTTGCAGCATATCGAATATTCTAAGTTCAATTTACAAAAAAGAGAAAAAAAGTGCGCAGGGGTGGGGATGTGGGAAGTACATGACGAAAGGACTTTTTAATGTAATTTGAAAAAACTCCCTTCAAGTTCAGTTTACATAACAAGCTGTTTTCTACTATGTTTGGATTAGGGGTCAGTAAACTATAGCCTGTGGACCAAATCTGCCCTGCTGTCTGTTTTTGTAAATAAAGTTTTATTGGAACACAGCCACACTGCCCATTTGTTTACATATTGTCCATGGCTGCTTTTGCGCAACAACAGCAGAGCTGAAGAGTTGCCACGGGGACCATATGGTCTGCAAAGCCTAAAACATTTGCTATCTGGTCCTTTTTAAAAAAGCTTGCCGACTCTTGGTTTAGATTATGATTAGGTTTGCAAAAATTCAATTATGCACTTAGTGTTTGATATGAGATGCAGTCTGATTTTCCTCAGTTGCAAGGTCCATGCAGAATTTAATCTAGGGGTAAGTTTTTTAGGCTAAAGACTAAATTTTCATGGCAGTGAAAGCATAATAGTTCTCTCATAACGTCTATCCTTTTCTAGTTATGGCAGCTAAATATAGTGCTAAGTAATCCACACAAATCATTTTATGTTGAATCGGATTTTATGAACATAGAACAATGTTGGAGTTCTGTGGGTGGCTTTAGGAAGTGCTCACATGTTGTTCTCATCATAAATGAAATAAATACTTTAGATTGGGGCACTGCTAATATGGTAAACTGCTTTAAACCAGGTGATTTGACACTAAACTATACTACCTATTGCTGGCTTTTTTTTTTTTTTTTTTTTTTTTTTTTTTTTTTTTTTTGTTTGAGGTGGAGTTTTGCTCTTGTTGCCCAGGCTGGAGAGAATGTGTGATCTTGGCTCACTGTAACCTCCGCCTCCCGGGTTCAAGCGATTCTCTTGCCTCAGCCTCCCGAGTAGCTGGGATTACAGGCATGCGCCACCACGTCCTGCTAATTTTGTATTTTTAATAGAGACAGGGTTTCTCCATGTTGGTCAGGCTGGTCTTGAACTCCTGACCTCAGGTGATCCGCCCACCTCAGCCTCCCAAAGTGTTGGGATTATAGGTGTGAGCCTCTGCACTCAGCCTCATTTTCTATTTTACTAATATACTACCTTTAATTTAACAAATTTAATATATGTATGTATATATGTTGGAGAGACAAGGTCTCACTATGTGGCGCATGCTCATCTCAAACTGCTGGCCTCAAGCAATCTTTCCACCTCTGTCTCCCGAAGTGCTGGGATTACAAACATGTGCCACCACAGCTGGTGTACCTTTCATTTTTAATGTCAGTGTGTCAAAATGCATTTTAACCTGCATTTTTTTTTTTGAGACAGAGCCTTGCTCTGTGTCCCAGGCTGGAGTGCAGTGGCACGATCAACTGCCTCTCAGGTTCAAGTGATTCTCATGAGTAGCTGGGACTACAGGCCTGCCCCACAACACCCAGCTGATTTTTGTATTTTTTTTTCTTTTCTATTTTTTTCTTTTTTACTCTGCTTGAATCTGGGACGTGGAGGTTGCAGTCAGCCAAGATCACGCTACTGCACTCCAGCCTGGGTGACAAGAGTGAGATTCCATCTCAAAAAAACAAAAGACTAAACCAAAAAGTCTGCTCCCCGAATGCTCCGGGAGACTGATTTGAGTAATAATAAAACTCCCATCTCCCACACAGCCAGCTCTGCATGAATTACTTTCTCTATTGCAATTCCCCTGTCTTGAGAAATCGACTCTGTCTAGGCAGCGGGCAAGGTGAACCCCTTGGGTGGTTACACTAATGGCAGATCATGGAATCTCTCTGTTCCTAAGTTTCCTTGTTATACGATAGACAAGGCTAATGCTGTCTACTCTGAGTCCTTAGGACACAGAATCGTCAACTACTGAACGTGTGTGACGGTCCTACGCACGTATCAGGTATTAATTCTTTGGTCTCTAGACTGAGTTTTCCCGTTTCTTGACTTCCTCAAAGCTGCCTGAGTCTGCTGCCTCTCCTAACCTCATAGTTCCTAGGTTTTTCACTTCCTGTTCTGCAAAGAGACTTTATACGACCCACAGAGGTCTTAGAAAACACCTCCCGCAGATCCTCAAAAGTCCTCTAATTAGGCTGTTTTATCTTTTCTGTCAAAAAAGACAGACTCAAAGTGCAGATATCCCAGAGAAAAGGGGAAGTGGTGCCTGAACTTCCCACCCAGACCTAAATGACTTGAAGCCCTTGTCCTGAAACTTGGAATGAGTGGTGCTGGAGGGGCAGACCGAAGGAGTCATGTGGGGGTGGGAGCCACTCCTCAGCTTAGACCCCTCCCACAGCCTGCCATCCCACTCAGATTAAAGGCCAGATTCCTTACTGTGGCCCCTTTCGGAAATTGATGTTGAAAATAGATGCTTGGTGCTGCAAAGAAAAATCAGCACTGAGACAAAGGATCTTTCAGCAACGCAATTTTTACTTCCTGGACTGCAGGAAGGGTACCCCCACTAGCCATCGTGCCACAAGAGTACAATGAACAAAGGAAAACAGACAAATTGATTCCTTATACATTTGGGGTCGTCCTTACTGCTGTGTCTGATCTTCATTGGCTGGAGTCAGACCTCACAATCTAAACTAAAACCCGATTGGCTAACAAAACATTTTAAAACAGGTAAAAGCAATGGAGAGCTGGGACATGCCTGTGAGCACGTCCGGCACAGAATCTTGGTTAAAGTACAAGAACATAGAATGTACTACGTGCCGGTAAGCATGGCATGTCTAACAGCTACATAGCATAGGGCTTAACAAAGTTACTAGCACATTTATTCTTTTTTTTGAGACAGATTCTAGCTCTGTCGCCCAGGCTGGAGTGCAATGGCATGATCTCGGCTCACTGCAACCTCTGCCTCCCAGTGCAGTTCTCTGCCTCAGCCTCCCAAGTAGCTGGGATTACAGGCATGTGCCACCACGTCCACCCAATTTTTGTACTTTTAGTAGAGAAGGGGTTTCACTGTGTTGGCCAGGCTGGTCTCGAACTCCTGACCTCCTGATCCACCCGCCTCAGCCTCCCAAAGTGCTGGGATTATAAGCGTGAGCCACCGCGTCTGGCTGCACACTTATTCTTTAACAAGAAAGAAAATTAAAAAGGAACTTTTCTACTTTCCACAGTCCCCAAGGCCCTGCACAATGATATCCCTGTCACCTCTCTGTCCTCATTTGCTATTGTCCCCCTGTTCATTCTGTTCCTGCTACACTGGCTGCTCCTTCAACAGACCTGGCTTATTTCTCACGCATGGCTTTGCCGCTGGCGTTTCTGTTGTTGGGAGTGCTCTTCTCCCCATAGACACATGGTTTGATTCTTCATGTCTTTCAGGTCTTTGGCAAAATGTCACCTCCTCAGGGAAGACTTCTCTGACTGTCATATTTAAAATGGCAACTTCCTTCCTCTTTCCTCTGACACTCCCTATCCTCCTTCCCTTGCTTATTTTTCTCCCTAGCATTTGCCAACATCTTTCACGTTAAATACGTTATGTATTTGTTCATCATCCCACTAGAATGCAAGTTCCATAAGGGCAAGGGTTTTCTGTCTATTTTGATTACTGCTATGTCTTCAGAGTTTAAAACAGCTCCCAGAAGCTGTGGCTTAGGTGCAGACATGGCCAAGTCCAAGAACCACACCACACACAAGCAGCCCCGAAAGTGGCACAGAAATGGTATCAAGAAACCCCGATCACAAAGATACAAATCTCTTAAGGGGGGTGGACCCCAAGTTCCTGAGGAACATGGGCTTTGCCAAGAAGCACAACAAGAAGGGCCTAAAAAAGATGCAGGCCCACAATGCCAAGGCCATGAGTGCACGTGCTGAGGCCATCAGGGCCCTAGTAAAGCCCAAGGAAGTTAGGCCCAAGATCTCAAAGGGTGTCAGCTGCAAGCTTGATTAACTTGCCTACATTGCCTACCCCAAGCTTGGGAAGCGTGCTCATGCCCACATTGCCAAGGGGCTCAGGCTCTGCTGGCCAAAGGCCAAGGCCAAGACCAAGGATCAAACCAAGGCCCAGGCTACAGCTCCAGCTTCAGTTCCAGCTCAGGCTCCCAAAGGTGCCCAGGCCCTTACAAAGGCTTCAGAGTAGAGATCTCTGTCTGCCAACGTGAGGACAGAAGGACTGGTGTGACCAACCCCCTCCCCCTGGGCTGCCGTCTGCATGGGGCTGGGGTACAGCTGCGCTATTTGTATAAATAAAACGGAGGCAGGAAAAAAGAAACACCTCCTGGAACAAAATAGATGCTCAAAAAATACCTGTTGAATGAATGAATTAGTAGAAGAGTGAATAGTGCCTTTCCTTCCATTTCCTCAACGATAAGATCTGTGTGAATGACCTCATGCTGGTGTGTTAATGTGATGAGAGCTCTAGGAGAAAGCTTTCAATTTAATCCCAAATTAGTGGAGAAAGGGAAAGCAAAGTCTTCAGAAATCTGTGAATTACCCAAAGCAGTTCAGGTGAATGGAAGGAATTATAGGACAGTGGGTTAGAGACCAGGATTAAAGTCAATCTTTACCATTAAACGTTTGGGCAAGTTAACCTCTTCGGCCTTCAGTTGTATCATCTCTAGAAAGGGGGGAATTGGAATAAATAATCACCAAGAAAAAGTATATAGTGCTTTATAACTAAAAAATTTCTTTCACATGTATTACTGTAACCTGTATAACCAGTTTGTTAGCTTACTCTAAAAGTAACTCCTTTTGACCGGGCGCAGTGGCTCTCGTGTGTAATCCCAGCACACTGGGAGGCTAAAGCGGGCGGATCTCCTGCGGTTAGGAGTTTGAGACCAGACTGACCAACATGGTGAAACCCCGTCTCTACTAAAAATACAAAATTAGCCGGGCGTGGTGGCGCATGCCTGTAATCCCAGCTACTTAGGAGGCTGAAGCAGGAGAATCGCTTGAATCCGGAAAGTGAAGGTTTTCGGTGAACTGAGATTGCGCCATTGCACTCCAGCCTGGGCAACAAAAGCAAAACTCCATCTAAAAAAATAAATAAATAAATAACCCCTTTCTCCATTTGTTTCTTGCTATATACCCAATTTCCTGTTTGCTTCACAATTCCAGAGGCTAATCTTGAAACAATCCAGGCATGACCGTGGGACTGGCAGTTGCAATCTTTCCCCTTCCAAGAAGCAATTGGTACGTACACAGTTAATCTGCAACCTGACCCCCAACGAGAGGATGCTAACCAGGTCTCTGGATGGTCAATTACTCAAGCTAGCCATCAGAAAATGACAAGAGGACTTGCAGCCTATGTACCCCTTTCCCTTAAAACCCCTTGAGCCAGCCTGAGAATTTGAGCTGGCTTTTTTGAGACTTGAGTGTGGCTATCTCCCAAGCTGCTAGCACTTGAATAAACCTGCTTTCCTTCCACCAAACCTTGCTTCCTGTGTGTCTGGCTTTTTAAGCAGTGAGCAGCTGAACCTGAGTTTGGTTACATTGTTTCTGATTCCCATGAGGCGGCCAGAGCTGGTAGGTAGATGTGAGAGAACAAAAAACCTTTTCTTAGTTGTTGCTGCTTGTAAGTTCTCACAAGACCCTCAGGGGGGTGGGTCCCACACAAGGAGAATTGTTGGTTTCTGAGCAAGTGATGGGGGACAGATTTGGACTTGTAAGAGGGTTAAATGGCTTTATGTAAGAATCAGCAGAGATACGAAGGACTGGGCAAGATCTGGTAGCAGAAAGCAGGAGAAGCAAAAGATGGGAGGTGGCAGAGCCCTGCTAGGAGAGGTCAGGAAGAGACATTCTTGTGGCAAAATGAGCAAGCGGGGCCTGAAAGAGAGAAATGGAGACATGGAGCTGGCTCTGTGGGTCATGATGTAAGCACTTTCTACATCTATCTCAGAAAATCCAGGTGGTTTCTGATGCTTTGGCCCAAATGAATGATCTCAGGAGCACAGAAATAGGTGTGGACTCCTGTGTGGAGGCTGCCAGAGGGGAGGGGACAGCCAGGATCTTGGACACATGACAGAGAAAGGAGAGCGAATGGTGCCTGAGAATAGGGCTCTGGCGCTGAAAGAGTGGTTTTTGTGGGTGGCCCCACCTGTTCCTTGACTAACTTCTTAAGGATATGGTATTGCCTATTTTTTCCCCCCTGGTTATCACATGAAGGGTCTTTTTTGTTATTTTAATTTTTCACCCATTTGTTATAATTGGACACTCTATTGCCATCAGCTTAGTGATTACTTTAAGCAGGAAGGCCTTCCTTGGCTTGCTAAAATGGTCATCATGTTTAAACTCCTTAGGGTTGGAATGGAAGAAATCTAGAGCTTTTCCTCAGTGCTTTGACTTTGCAATTCAGTTTTTGATTTTTTATACCTAGTTTTATATCCCAGCGAGTTTAGCACACTAGGTAAATGAAAAACACCTTTAATTCGCCTTTGGATAATTAGCACAAAGAGAAAATGGCTTTGCACGTCACGATGTGGCTTGGTTCAAACTGAGCGAATGAGAACAAAAGTCAACACTTCCATAGTTGCACAAACTTGTAACAAATAATTTTCATTTAATTTAAAGTGATAAATCTGGGTAATTATGTGATGATGGTTCATAAAACGATTAATCAAACTCGTATACATTTTGTAGCATCTCATGCATTACTGCAATTGGAGTATTTTAGGAAAATTTATTGTTTGAATTTTAAAATATCACTCCATTTTATCTATCAGCAAAAATGGGAAAACATATCTTTGCTACTTCTATTTAGTCAATTATTATAATGGAAGGCATTGGATAGTATCCAAGAAGAACAATTATAAATAATACAATGTAGACCTGCTTCCAATGTGTACTCCCTTATAAACTTCCAATGTAATTAAAATATAAATTGGATCTAGAATGGGTATAAAAATCCCTGTAAAAGTACAAGTTTGTCAGGAATAGATAACGAACAACGAAAGAATCCTTTCTACAGTTTATTTTGTTAAATTCATACATGAGCAGCTTCTTGAGGGTATCTCATGCAATTATTCAGACAAATTTATCCGGACATTTCCCATCTGAGACAGTATGGTGTAAATGAGATTTTTTTTGAGATGGAGTTTCTCTCTTGTCGCCCAGGCTGGAGTGCAGTGGTAGAATCTCCGCTCACTGAAACCTCCGCCTCCCAGGTTCAAGCGATTATCCTGTCTTAGCCCCCTCGAGTACCCAGGATTACAGGCGCCTGCCACTATGCACGGCTGTTTTTTGTATTTCGCTACTAAAAGTATCAACGGGGTTTTTGCCATGTTGGCCAGGCTAATCTTGAACTCGGGACCTCAAATGATCTGCCAGTCTCGGCCTCCCAAAGTACTGGGATTACAGGTGTGAGCCACCACACCTGGCCTCAGTAAGGTGTAAATAAAACCAAAATGAAGATGGCAAAGTTTGGAGGTGATTTAAAAAGCTGCATGTGTTCTTTTTGTTTGTTTCTGTTTCTGTGTGTGTGTGTGTGGTGTGTGTGTGTTTGAAATGGAGTTTAGTTTCACTCTTGTTTCCCAGGCTGGAGTGCAATGACACGATCTCGGCTCACTGCAACCTCCGCCTCCTGGGTTCAAGCGATTGTCCTCCCTCAGCCTCCTGAGTAGCTGGGATTACAGGTGCCCACCACCACACCTGGCTAATTTTTGTGTTTTTTTTTTAGTAGGGACAGTGTTTCGCCATGTTGGCCAGGCTGGTCTCTAACTCCTGACCTCAGGTGCTGGGATTACAAAGCTGAATGCGTTCTGAACAGTGGAACATGATGCCTCATTCTAGTATGTTTAGAGGAATCCACAGATTGGCTTTTAGACACTAAGCTTCACTATGCTCAGCTTCATTAGATGAAATTAATTCTCATGTGGACTGGGGTGCACCTTTCAAGAAGAGTCCTTTCTCAATAGCTTAGAAGCATTCATTTGCATCTCTTGGATTACCCATATTCTCTTTCAGCACAGCAATTTCCAGCTCACTTTAGCAAGTCATTTCATTTTTGGGAAAAAGTGCATTTCCCAATATATTGGGCCCTTTTGATCCCTGTTGGCTCAGAAGATCACAGTCAGTAAAAACATTTTTCTGAGGATGACAACAATCCAGAGAACGGCAGGTGACTCTTAGAGCTGGTGTAACAAACAGTTCATGTTTCCAGATCATTTCCAGATGGGTGGGCAGTCAAGATGAAAGGAGCATTTTGAGAATTGATACAAATGAAAAGTTAATTAATATCATTATCTTACCGATGGACGTTTAGGTTGCTTGGAGTCTTTCATATTACATATAATGTTGCAGTGGTACTTGTTTCACTGAGCCTACATATAAGATTTTATCTAGAATATATTCCCATAAGTAGAACTGCTGGGTCAAGGGGCAGATACATCTTCAATTTTATTTATTTATTTATTTATTGAGATGGAGTCTCACTCTGTCACTCATGCTGGAGTGCAAAGGCACAGTCTCGGCTCACTGCACCTACCTCTGCCTCCCAGGTTCAAGCGATTCGCCTGCCTAAGCCTCCCGAGTCAGTGGGACTATAGGCGTGTGCCACCACACCTGGCTTATTTTTGTATTTTTAATAGAGACAGGGTTTCACCATGTTGGCCAGGCTGGTCTCAAACTCCTGACCTCATGAGCCACCCTCCTTGGCCTCCCAAAGTGCTGGGATTACAGGCGTGAGTCACCACACCTGGCTACATCTTCAATTTGCTAGATATTATCACGTTGCTCTCGAAGTGCCTATACAATTTGACACTTTCATTGGCAGGACATGACAGCTTCTGTTACCCTGCATCCTTGCCAAAACGGAATTATCTGAACTTTCAGCTTTTGTCCATCCAATGTGGGAAAATTATATTTTATTACTGTTTTAATTTGCATTTCTCTGATGAATAGTCATATTGGACATCTTTTTATGTTGTTGGGTTTTCAAGCTTCCTTTTTATGAGTTACCAATTCATATTCTGTTGGCTTCTTTTCCCCCCATTGATTTGTACAAGGTTCTTAAAAATATTCTTTTTAAGTTTTATGAGTTGTAAATAGCACCTCCTAGTCTGTGGATTTATTTTTCACTTCATTTTTTTGGTGCATTTAATAGTCCAGAAGTATGTAATTTTAGCATAGTTGAATCTATTGACCTTTTCCTTTAGAGTTTGTGCCTTTTGTAGTTTAAGAAATCCTGGCTGAGC